CAGGAAGCATTTTCTTTAAAAGAGAATATTTTATTACAGAAATTCAGGAGCTTGTCATATTCAACAAAATTAATAGTAATCTTTGGTTTTGATTCATGTCCAGTGCATTATTGCATTTCTATGACTGTCTCAAGTATGTTAACTCTTAGTTATTTATAGAATCACAATTCCATTAGGGCCAATTGTGTTTCCATTTTTCCTTTCTCCCCTAGTCCATAATTCCTTTCAAAGGTGGCTTATAGGTCCTGGGAATGTTCTGCCCTCAAGAATTGGCTGTTTGCCTGTCTGCGGAATCATTTAACTTGTGTCTCCATTTCTGGTATTTCATTTACTTGGAAATTAGCTCTAAATCACACTTTTGCTTTCTCTTTTCTAAAAATCATTTTAATTGCAAGAGATTTCATTTACTTATTATTTACTCAGCTCCTTCTTATTCTCACCTGAAACCAGTTCTTGTTCCCAGAAGAGCTAAGAATAGACGTTAGGATGCCTCCCTCATCTGCAAAGAAAACTGATTCAGATCAGGAAGTTTCCGAGTCCTAAGGATTCAGGGGATGGAGGAAACCTCAGATTGTGTGTCAAAGTTGAATTTGTGCTTATTAGAGGGGTGTGTTGCTTAAAGATCAATTAAAACAATTAAAGTAACTTTGGCCAAGAAAAGGTGATATCTGACTTAGAAGGGTGCTTCTGTTTCAGTCAAATGAAACATTTCTGAGAACTCTGTGATAAGACTCAAGAAGAGAGGGACAAAAGTGAGAGAGGGAGGCAGACAAGACAGGAAGTCAAAGACTGAGAGGAAAGAGATTTTGAAGGAAGGAAGGCACTTTGACGGAGAAGCCCTTACCCTGGGCTGGGGTCAAAACCCACTTGTAATTTCAGATTAATCAGACCTTGCCACAACTTTTAGGTTAAACCAGACTTGGAAATAACAGGAGGTAAAGCCACCCCCAGGACAAATATCTGGGAAAGACCCTTCAGGACTGGCTATGTTGAAACCACATTGTCTAATAAAAGCCAATGCCAAACTGATCTGCATGATCAGTCCTAACAAAAGCAAATGAGTCCTAAAGAATGCATTAATGAGTTACAAACATCACCAGTTTTCAGGTTGGATTTTCCTTAACAGTTTAGGAAAAAAGAGAGCCTACCTAAAGATTGTTAATTAAGCATTAATGTGAATATTGATCTGGTCAGCTGATAGTTTGCCTGGCAGTAAGTAACAAATGAACTCTTTTCTTTTTTCTTTTGAGCTATTGCACATCTCTTCTCTGATAGAGCAGTCTAATACCTCAGCTCTCACTTGTCCTCCTTGTTTGCTTGGTCTAGAGAATTTGTTTTCATCTCTGTGACATAAAAATAGAAGCTGGAAAGAAAATGGGAATACAGAAGTAGGAGTTTCATATGTTTCATTGAGTCATTAAAATGGAGCTCTGGGAGCAGGGTGTGGTGGTACACGCCTGTAATCTCAGGGGCTGGGGAGGCTGAGGCAGGAAGATCATTAGTTCAAAGCCAGCCCTGGTGACTTAGGGATGTCCCCAAGCAACTTAGACTGTGTTTCTAAATAAGATATAAAAAGGATTGGGGATGTGGCTCAGTGGTTAAGTGCCCTGGGTTTAATCCCTAGTACCAAATGATAGATGATAGATAGATAGATAGATCAATAGATTAAAAAATAAATAAAACAAAGCCCTGGGGGGCCTAGGGAACTTCTATCCTTCATTCATAGCTGAAACCACTTCTACAACCTCTCCTGGCCTCTGGGAGGAGACTAAGAAACCAGCCCTTATTAAAAGACTGGGCTCAATTATACATGTGCATTTTCAAGGTGGTAGGTATATATACAGCATTTATCATTATAGTTCCACTGTAGATTTGAATAAACCTAAAGTTCATCTTTGGAAAACTACTTAGGTATGTTATATCACATTCACTTAAGTAGAATATCCAGCTCCATGAAAGAATAAGAGTGATATGGAAAGATCTCCACAATTCTTTACAAGGTGAAATAAGGAAAATGGAGAAAATACTACAAGAAATTAAAGAGAACTTAAGAAAAGATAGTTATAGCACACTCATCATATGTATATGCTTCAAGATTGTAGATGCCAATTCGCAATTACCCCATGGATTCAGTATATTCCCAATCAAAATCCCATCTGGTTTTATTTATTTATTTATTTAAATAAAATTTAAAACTTTTAAATTGAGGTGAAATTCATGTAACGTAAAATTGATCATTCTAAAGAGCCAGTCATTTAGTATAATATTTAGTATAACAATGTTGTGCCATCATTCCCTCAATAATAAGTTCAAAGTTTTGTATATTATGATGGTGAGGGTGAGGAGTCACTGTTGATATTGGCTGCCACATGACCAATGTTCTCAGGAACTGGAAGATAATATTCTTTTTCATAATTTTTCATTTAAGTTTTAAAAACATCAGCATGATCAGAAATACTCACCTGTGCACTTTTGATAAGAAATACAAACCAGAGACTGCCCCTTCCTACAAGTAGACTACTGCAGGAGGTGAAGCCCAGTGATCCAGATTCACCTACACTGTTCTCTGCAGAGCCCAGGCGCACAGTGGGCTGGGCCCACCCCTTTCCTGGTGGGGCAGACACTTGCCAGAGCCTAGCCTCTTGTTCAATACAACCAGTTCTGACCAGTGCACTACTGCAAGAGCCAAGATCCAGACCAAATGGCTCACAACAGCTCACATGGGATCAAGGATTTCACTTGGCCTGTTTTATCCCTCCCCTGGTGGGGTAGACACTGCCAGAGCCTAGCCTTTGGTGCAAGATCATCCCTTCCTACTAGCAGACTACCTCGGAATGTCAAGCCCAGCAGCCCAGTTCCACCCACTCCAACTTACTCAGGTCCCAGACACAGGATGCAGTAGCATCCATTGAAGGACACCAGCGTAATCTGGAAGCCCAACATCAAGGTGAGTTACAGGCAATCTACACAGGTACTACATAAATATATGGAAGAAACTGTAATATCTCAGATCCACACTGCAAGAAAGGAAGACACACAGACACATAGATGAAAAAACAAGGGAGAAATTGTCCCAAACAAACCAGGACACTATAATAACAGAACCTATGGACAGCAAAGTGGATGAAATGTCAGAGAAGGAGTTTAGAAGATTCATAATTAAAATGATCTGTGAATGATCTAAATGAGCAAATACAAGCAAAAATTGATCACTCCAACAATAAGATAAGAGAGCAAATACAGGTAGTAAAAGATTACTTCAAGAGAGAGATAGAGACCCTGAAAAAGAATAGTCAGAAATTCTTAAAATGAAGTATAGAATAAATCAAATAAAAAAACTCAATAGAAAGCATAACCAACAAATTAGATCACTTGGAAGAAAGAACATCAGATAATGAAGACAAAGAATACAATCTGGAAAATAAAGTTGATCACACAGTGAAGAAAGTTAGAAACTATGAACAGAACATACAAGAAATATGGGACAGCATCAAAAGACCAAATATAAGAGTTATTGGGATAGAAGAAGGCACAGAGTTTCAAACCAAAGGAATGCACAATCTCTTTAATGAGATAATATCAGAGAATTTCCCGAGCAAGAAGAACAAATTGGGAAACCAAATATAAGAGGCTTACAGGACACCAAATGTACCAAATTACAACAGATCTACAACAAGGCACATTATAATGAAAATGCCTAGCATACAGAATAAGGATAGAAGTTGAAAGCTGCAAGAGAGAGGAATCAGATCACATATAGGGGGAGATCAATTCATGTCTCAGCAGATTTTTCAACCCAGACTCAAAGCCAGGAGACCATGGAACAACATATACCACGCTCTGAAAAAAAATGGATGCCAACCAAGAATCTTATATCCAGCAAAACTCAGCTTTAGATTTGATGATGAAATAAAAACCTTCCAGGACAAACAAAAGTGAAAAGAATTTACAACCAGAAAGCCTACACTACAGAACATCCTCAGCAAAATACTCCAAGAAGAGGAAATAAAAAACAATGATGAAAATCAGCAGAGGGAGGGATTACACTAAAGTAAAACCTAATCAGAGAGAAGAAACCAAGTCATGTTAAATACCAAAAATAAACAAAAATGGCTGGGAATACAAATCATGTCTCAATAATAACCCCAAATGTTAATGGCCTAAACGCATCAATCAAAAGACATAGACTAGCCGATTGGATTACAAAAACAAAAACAAAAAAATGCTGCCTCCAAGAGACACATCTCATAGAAAAAGACATTCACAAACTGAAGGTGAAGGATTGGAGAAAAGCATACCACTCACATGGACTGCAGAAGCAAGCAGGTATTTCCATCCTTATATCAAATAAAGTAGACTTCAAACTAAAGTCAATCAAAAAGGATAAAGACACTACATACTGCTCAAGGGAACTATACACTAACAATACTTAACAATTATATATGCCCCAAACATGGAACAGCTATGTTCATCAAACAAACTCTTCTCAAGTTCAAGAATCAAATAAACCACAACACAATATTTTTTGGTGACTTTAACACACCTCTTTTATCACTAGATAGATCTTCCAGACAAAAGCTGTACAAAGAAACTATAGAACTAAGTAATATAAGCAATAACTTAGACTTAACTGACATATATAGAATATTCCAACCTTCAACGAGAGAATATACTTTTTTTTTTAGCAGCACATGGATCCTTCTGTAAAATAGACTATATATGATACCACAAAGCAACTCTTAGAAAATATAAAAAAGTAGAGATACTACCCTGCATTCTATCAGATTATAATGGAATAAAATTAGAAATCAATGATAAAATAAGAAATAAAGTGGGTGGGTTTGAAGGTGCCTCGGCGGCCACCACTGCTGAAGTGACTGCTGGAGATGTGGGTCACCTCCATGAGATGAAAAGGTCTCTTCCAGACACTCCATGATGTCCTGTGCTGTCCCAGGCCCAGAGCAACGTGCCAAGCCCATGGAATGAAACCTGCCAAAGAGATGGATGAGACTGTTGCTGAATTTATCAGGAGGACCATCTTGAGAATCCCCATGAATGAAATGATGTCAATCTTAAAAGCCTGGGATTTTTTTTTTTTATCTGAAAACCAACTTCAGACCATAAACTTCCAGCAGAGAAAGAAACGTCTGGTTCAGGACTTGGTTCTGCTGTGTGAAGAGAAGTGTGCGAGTGTAAACTATGCAGCCCTTTTAGACATCATTTATACTCAAGTACATCAACACCAAAAAGTTTGGGATGTTTTTCAGATGAGTAAAGAACCAGATGAAGATGTTGAACTTTTTGACATGGAACAATTCAAACGTTCATTTAAAAAAATTCTTCAGAGAGCATTAAAAAATGTGACAGTCAGCTTCAGAGATGCTGAGGAGAATGCAGTCTGGATCCGAATTGCCTGGGGAACACAATGTACAAAGCCGAACCAACACAAACCTACATATGTGCTGCATTACCACCAGACTCCCTATGCCTTTACCTCCTCCCCGCTGAAGAGCCTTATGCCCCTTCTTGGTCAGGCACTGACAGTTGCTAACAAATACCATCAGATTGTAAAAATGGATCTAAGAAGCCAACACCTGGACTCTCTCAAGGCTATTGTTTTTAAACAGTATGATCAGACCTTTGAAAATCACAACTCTACAACACCTCTACAGGAAAGATGCCTGGGACTAGATGTAAATATGGATTCAAGGATCATTCATGAAAACAGGGTAGAAAAAGAGAGAGTCCAAAGAATAACTCAAGAATCTTTTGGAGACTATCCTCAACCACAACTAGAATTTGCACAATATAAGTTTGAAATGAAGTTCAAAAGTGACTTAAATGGGGGCATCTTGGCTGAGAGGAAAGAATCCCTCTGGTGCCTAATAAAATTCTCTAGCCCTCATCTTTTGGAAGCATTGAAATCCTTAGCACCAGCTGGAATTGCAGATGCACCACTTTCTCCACTGTTCACTTGCATACCAGCAAGGGAATGAATTATTTTAAAATCAGAGACAAATAAGCTCTATATGGTTTTATAGCTTATAAACCCAGGGGCTCCTTGGTGATGGTGTACAAGCATTCCAGTTAATGGTTATATGGACAGCCTCTGGCTATAAGCTACTTTAGAAATTAATCCTTAGTATTGAAAATGTTCATATAATTTTGGGACTGATTCTTTCCTCCTTGTGTCCCCTCTCCCACTTTTCCTGCTAAATATAGCAGTTGTGGGCATTTGAGAGGTCACAGGATATGTATTGGGCTCTGGATTGACCTTAAGCACAGAATGCTTTGAAGCCAAGCATATGGCACTGTGGTTGATCCTGTTGGCCTCATATATAGTGCCCTTTTCCCCACTCCTGCCTCTATTCAATCCTAGGGAGGACTAGTTCCAATTGTTGCTTTCTAGGGATCTTCTGTTAAGCCCTGATCACTTGAAAGAAACTATATTGAACTCAAAACCTAGAAGAATCATAAAATTAGTCCAGAGAATAGAATTGAGTCCACTAAGTTATTACTGGAGGAAGTTACATATCCAATGACTCACTTTTATAAAATAATTGTTTCATTGTAAATATGATACTTTTCATAATGCATTTTATCATACACGTAACATCCAAACTGACCATTACAATACTGATTTGTAAATAAAGATACTGAAAAACTGGTAAATAAAAAAAAAGAAATAAAATCCACTCCATCACCTGGAGACTAAATAGTATGCTACTGAATGAACAATGGATTACAGAAAACATCAAGGAGGAGATTAAAAAGCTTTTAGAGGTGAATGAGAACACAGATACAACGTATCTAAATCTTTGGGACACTATGAAAGCAGTTCTAAGAGAAAAGTTCATTGCATGGAGTTCATTCCTTAAAAGACGAAAAAGTCAACAAATAAATGACTTAAAACTACATCTCCAAAGCCCTAGAAAAAGAAGAACAATTCAACACGAAAAGCAACAGAAGACAGGAAATAATTGAAATCAGAGCTAAAATCAATGAAATTGAAACAAAAGAAACAATTGAAAAAATTGACAGAACAAAAATTTGGTTCTTTGAAATAAATAAATAAAATTGACAAACTCTTAGCCATGCTAATAAAGAGAAGGAGAGAGAAAACTGAAATCTCTAATATACATGATGAAAAAAGAAATATCACAACAAACACTACAGAAATACAAATGATAATCAGAAATTATTTTGAAAACCTGTACTCCAATAAAATAGAAAATATCAAAAGCCCTGACAAATTTCTAGAGACATATAATTTGCCCAAATTGAATCAGGATGATAAAAGAATTTAAACAGATCAATTTCAAGTGATGAAATAGCAGACACTGTCAAAAGTCTACCAATCAAGAAAAGCCCAGGACCAGATGGATACACAGCTAAGTTCTACAAGACCTTTAAAGAAGAACTAATACTAATACTCTCCAATTTATTTCAGGAAATAGAAAAAGAGGCAGCACTTCCAAACTCATTCTCTGAGGCCAATATCACTCTGATTCCAAAAACCAGGCAAAGAAAAATTTGAAAAAAAAGAAGAAAGAAAGAAAACTTCAGACCAACATCTCTAGTGAACATAGATGCAAAAATTCTCAATAAGATTCTGGCAAATCAAATACAAAAACATATCAAAAAGATTGTGCACTATGATCAAGTGGGATTTATCCCAGGGATGCAAGGTTGGTTCAACATACGGAAATCAATAAATGTAATTAATCACATCAATAGGCTTAAAGATAAGAATCATATAATCATCTCAATAGATGCAGAAAAAGCATTTGACAAAATGCAGAACCACTTTGTGTTCAAAACACTAGAAAAATTTGGGATAAAAGGAACATATCTCAACATCATAATGGCTATCTATGCTAAGCCCAAGGCCAACATCATTCTAAATAGAGAAATGTTGAAGGCATTCCCTCCAAAACCTGGAACAAGACAGGGATGTCCTCTTTCACCACTTCTATTTAACATAGTTCTTGAAACACTGGCCAGAACAATTAGACGGATGAAAAAAATTAAAGGGATACACATAGGAAAAGAAGAACTTAAATTGGCACTATTTGCTGATGATATGATTCTATACCTGGAAGACCTAAAAGTTCCACCAGAAAACTCCTAGAACTAGTAAATGAATTCAGCAAGATAGCAGGATATAAAATCAACACCCATAAATCAAAGGCATTTCTGTATATCAGTGACAAATCCTCAGAAAGGGAAATGAGGAAAACTACTCCATTCTCAATAGTGCCCCCCCCCAAAAAAAACCAAAAACCCAACAACAACAAAAAACTTGAGAATCAACTTAATGAAAGAGGTAAAATATCTATATAATGAAAATTACAGAACCCTAAAGAAAGAAATCAAAGAAGACCTTAGAAGATGGAAAGATCTACTTTGCTCTTGGATAGACAGAATTAATATTATCAAAATGACCATACTTCCAAAAGCACTATACAGATTTAATGCAATTCCAATCAAAATCCCAATGACATTTCTCATAGAAATAGAAAAAAGCATTCATGGAATTCATCTGGAAAAATAAGAGACCCAGAATAGCTAAAGCAGGAAGAGTGAAGCAGGTGGCATCACTATACCAGACCTTAAACTGTACTGCAGAGCAATAGTAACAAAACAGCATGGTGTTGGCACCAAAACAGACTGGTAGACCAATGGTACAGAATAGAGGACACAGAGACTAACCCAAAAAAACTACAATTATCTTACATTAGACATGCATTGGAGAAAAGATAGCCTCTTCAACAAATGGTGCTGGGAAAACTGGAAATCCATATGAAACAAAAAGAGATTAAACCCCTGTCTCTCCCTATGCACAAAACTCAACTCAAAATGGATCAAGGACTTAGGAATGCAACCAGAGAACCTGCATCTAATAGAAGAAAAAGTAGGCCCTAATCTTCATCATGTGGGATTAGGCCCCAACTTCCTTAATAAAACTCCTGTGTCTCAAGAATTAAAATCAGGAATCAATAAATGGGATGGACTCAAACTAAAAAGCTTCTTCTTAGCAAAACAAATAATCTATGAGGTTAATAGAGAACCTACATCTTGGGAGCAAATCTTTACCCCTCACACATCAGATACAGCACTAATCACTTGGGTATATAAAGAACTCAAAAAGGTAAACATCAAAAAATAAAAACAAACAAACAAAAAACCCCAAGTAACCCAGTCAAAAATGGGCTAAGAACCTGAAGAGACACTTCTCAGAAGAGGATATACAATTAATCAACAAATACATGAAAAAATGTTCATCATCACTAGCAATTAGAGAAATGAAAATTAAAATCACTGAAAGATTTCATCTCACTCCAATCAGAATGGCAGCTATTATACATACAAACAACAATAAGTGTTGGCAAGGATGTGGGGAAAAAGATACACTCACACACTGCTGGTGGGACTGCAACTTGGACACCGTCACATCAATGTTTAAGCAGCACAATTCTCTATAGATAAACTGTGGAACCAACCTAGATGCCCTTTAATAAATGAATGGTTAAATTTAAATGGCATATATACACAATGGAATATTACTCAGCAATACAAAAATAAAATCATGGCATTTGCTGGTAAATGAATGTCATTAGAGAAGATAATGCTAAGTAAAGTTAGCCAATCCCAAAAAACCAAATGCTGAATGTTTTCTTTGATGTAAGGAGGCTGATCATAGTGGGATAGGGAGAGGCAGCATGGGAAGAACAGACAAACTCTAGATAGGGCAGAGGGGTTGGAGGAGAAGAGAGGGGGCATGGAGTAATTAATGATGGTGAAATGTGATGATCATTACTATCCAAAGTACATGTATGAAGACATGAATTGGTGTGAATATTCTATGTATACAACCAGAGATATGAAAAATTGTGTTCTATATATGTAATAAGAATTGTAATGCATTCTGCTGTCATATATATATATATATATATATATATATATATATATATATATGTATATATATATATATGTCAATATATATGACATATATATTGATATATATACATATATATTGACATATATATGATATATATCTATATATCTTTATATATAGATACACAAACACACACACACACACACACACACACCATTAGGATAGCTCAGGTGAGGATAAAGACATGATTTTAGCCACTCTCTAGAGATTTATAAATGGTCATTTTTGTCCCCTGGATGTTCTTTCTCCATGGGGCACCATTTTGTTCATCTCCTCTTCCTGTGAGGGGAAAGGGTAGGGAGGTTGGTGGTGGGGCTGAATATAAATATACACATTTCACAGTCCTCTGTTCTATTCACTTTTAACACTTGGGTTGAGTTAGTGATCCTGGAGGGAGGAAAAACCTCAATCTCTCAAGGCTCCTTTTTATTTCTGGGCCTAGGAATTGTAGCAATCTCTCACATACCTATTGGTGATTCATGTTTCTTTACTGTGAATTCCCTTCATAATTTTTCATCTATTGAGTTGAAGACAGGGATTCTTGGAGACTAGTGCAATGCAAGGTGGGGGAGAGCTTGGTGTTAGAGTCTGTAAACAAGTCAAAATAACACCTGGCATTTTGCCAGGGGAATGTTAAAGTTCGTAAACAAGTCTGGATGGTGCCTGGCAAAATGCCAGAGGGAGTGGTTTGAGAAGTAACAAAAACAAGCCATTAAGTGTGGAGATTCCTTATTGGTTGACTGATGTATCTAGTTTATGCTAATTAGATAAGCTGTGTGGAATGTATAAATACTGCTCCTGTCCTGCAATAAACGGCTCCCACTCCTGCTGTATCAACGTACACAAGTTGTTCGTCACCCCCCGGTTATTTTGCTGCAGCCTGACTGCGGCAGCTTGGTATGCTGAATCCATGTCTGTTGGAACTTGGTAATAGAAGTGGCACACCTAATTGTATCCCCTTCTGTGGAAGATGGCTGTGGAAGTAAGATTTTCTGTACACGTTCATGCTCTGCACATAGTCTTGATGAGTGGTGTTTA